AACGAGATTCTGAATGCCCACTGACCATCCTCCACCACAATACTCGCCGGAATCACACCACCGTCAGCTACAGTTATCACAATCCTTTCCGTGTCGCCGGGATGACCAACAGGCATGTGGCCTAGCGGTACAAGACTCCTACTTCCCAAAGGGAGATCAGGGGTTCGAACCTCAATGGAGGCAGTGTGTGTGAGTCCCAACTAAGAAAAACAAAATGGTTTGGGATGTTTTTATCACTTTCTGAGTTTATTATTCTTCTTTCGCGCTCCGAGGGGCGGAGTGTTATAAGAAAACTTAAGTGCCCCAATAGGAGTCTCCTCAGTCCTCGCCATCAAAGGATCTCTTATATTACATTCCCTTTACAAATCCCACCATACAGACAAAGGGGGCCACCCTCCCAAAAACTTGGGCTTGGGAACCCACTATACAACTTCTCCAACCCTCTATCATGATTCTCGTCAACTGAGGTATAACCCAAAAGACCCAAACAAACCCAAGAGCATGGCCCAACTATCTTAAGCCACTGGGCAGTGCAGGAGAAGATGATCTATTGACTCTTCATCTCTCTTGCACATACAGCACCAATCCATGATAACATGTCTCCTCTTCAGGTTGTCCAATGTCAGAACCTCCTTGAACTGATGTCCATGCAAAAAATCCCACCTTGAGAGGAGCCTTAGTGCGCCACATAGCCTTCCATAGGAAGGCAAGACCTGTGGCACTTGTATATAATTAAAAACTATTGTGCATTGGAAAAAAAATGTTAAGCACTGATCATTGGTATAATTTTCCTTTTTATAGAAAAATCACTAGTCTCTCCACATATGCTACTAAACTCAACAAAGCCATCTCCCAACTACTTGGACTATGTCACTCTTCCTAACTGACAGACTCAGTGGTTTCTCTCAATTTATCTCACGAATGTTCTCATTTCTAATTCTATCCTTGTCTTGATGAATCATTAGAATCTTATTAAATTCACCAAATTATTCCAAAGCTCATGAATACCATGGAACTTTTTATAGAAGACAGTATAGGATGAGACTTCAACTTATAGAAACAACCAAAAGATCCATTAAACGATTTTGTAAAACTTTGACATATATATACGTATATCCAATTAGTGATAGTCAAAAAGAAAAGTTGTTTCAAGAAAATATAATATTAAAAAGATTATGTTAAATCAAAGATTTTTTCTTTCATTTGATATATGTAATCAGCCTTTAAATGATATATAACAAGTTGAATTTCTTGGATAAATAAAACTTTATATATGCTGACATGCAATGTGAAATAGGAGTGCAGCTAATAAGTTTGGCACTGAATTAGAAGGTTTTGTGCTTCAATCCATTTTTATAGTAATCAATTTCTTATCCCATCTTTTTTCCAGCAAGAGACATTATTATTCTACTGTAGACCTGCGTTGAGTGCTGGAAGGAGAAGACTGGAGACATATCAACCTTTGGTATTACTTCTCTCTACAAATATTAATAGGATAAGCTGCATAGTTGGACTCAATAGAACGAACATTATAGAGAGTGAGACATGCTTTAGCAATTTTTTACTTAACTCCAAAATGATCATTGGTCTGATTCTTTGCAATTGTTGCCAAATATATAAACACTAAACTTCTTATTAAATGAACCTAAGGGTTATACTTTTGACCAAAAAAATATAAAAATAAAAATAAACCAACAGGGGGCAGAGTATTCATTTACATATGTCCCATGCAAGATTGAATTTTTGATCTACTCAAGAATGACTGAAGGTCATATACAAGTTTCTTCTTTTTCCAGATGTGCAGAAATGTCAATCTTGTGGTCTTGCTTAACTCAATGGCTGTCATGAGACTCATGACATATTCTATATAAACTCCCAACTCTGGCCTCTAGGTGATATGGGGCAAGACAACTCCTACATCCTATAGAATTTGTATTGCTCTTCTTCAAGAAATTTGTATATGAGTAAAGGAGATTTTACAATCATCATAACCACCAGTCCCTGTGTAAATGAAATCTCATTCTCAACATCCTATGTCCTGTTCAGCTTAAACTTCTCATAACTGAAGTATTTACCCAATCTTTAAAGTGAAATCATCAAATTCCATCTGCTCACGATACATAGAGCCCGCGCAAAATGAATAAGAAACCTAAACTAATCCTTAATCCCCTCCAAATAGCCTTTCACAACAACGGAGATTGCAGCTATTGACGGTGGAGATGGAGAGATCAACATGGCAGCATATACTTGCGGGACACATCTAATCCTGAGATCTTGTGAAACCCACTTCTGTTTCGGATATTAAACATACCGCCGTTTCACTTTTTTTTTTCTTTTTCCTTTTTTTCCTTTTTTTAGCCAAATGGCATCATTTTGGACAACCCACTTAAGAAGCCAGTCCCAAATTGTTTTAGTTTGAGGGTACTTGTGTAATTTCAAAAAACTATTATTATTATTATTTTTTAAAAATTTTTTGCAGGGGTAAAATGGTAAATTAAATGAACCTTAATAACAGTTTAACTGCACTTTAACAGAGTGGGGGTAGGTTGCAACTTTTGGATAGTTGGAGGGGTTAGTTGCATCACAGCCTTCACAGGGGAGTGTTTGCAAACGCCTTGAAAGTTGAGGGGGGTTTTCTTGCAATGTACCCATATTAATACTAAGTAGAATGAGGATGATGATGATGATGATGCAAATACATATACTTATGCCCTTTCTTTACATTATACCTTCAGTTTCACACAAGGTTGGTTTCAAACTTACAAAGCATATGATGTGTATTTGTTCAGAAAAACAAAAATTCCATTTTTTTTATTTATTTTTTTTTTTGGCAAGTCAAAAATTCCATTCATTTCACAATGGAAGTAAGCAAACATATATGCATGCACACACATAAATGCTTTTATCAAAGACTATTTTATCAAGTTCAAAAAAAAAAGGGGGGGCGCAATATCTTTTCTTTGGGTGGACACCATTGTCATCCATGCGGGTTATTATAGTGGACTTTAATATCCTAAAGAAATTGTATATATTTTTTTTTTTTCCCTGAATGAAATTGCATATTGACCTTATTTGTTGTGGGTATTTGACCTCATCCATCCTCATGTGGCTATTTACGTGACACCTTCAGTAAGACACATGATATCAACACAAAAGTCCACCTGTCAAGCCTCCAACATGATGCTTAGCACTGTCCAAGGAACGAGCTCCCCAATCTCCAATTAATCCAAGGATACATCTCCATGGGACGTGAACCTCTCAGCAAGTATGAAATAAACACACACGTTGAATCTCCACAAAGCTTCAAAGAAACCAGACCCACAGTCCAGAATCCTGACACTTTAGCTTTCAGTGCATCGGCACAAGCAACAGATTCTATGGCAGCATGGTTGGTTCTCCTGATTAGCTTCCACAGCCAAAATCCCAGCCACAATATCACATCTCCTATGCGTCAACTACACCTTCTCCAGCCATACATCAACTTTTCCCAAATAATCTCCATCTTTCTCTACTCCATCAACTGAGCCACCTCAGCATGCACTGCATCCTGACGCACCTCAAATTGTCTAGGTGAAGAGCAGGCCTCAGGGAGCTTCTCGGCCACTGGTTATGCTATGATCCAACAGGGACCCTAGGGAAATTAATTTGGTAGCAGAAATTTAAGGTTCGTCCAGGTGTCCCTCTTAATATACAGCTCAACATGTCTCAAAAATAGAGAGATTCCACGAGACTTCTATAACCATATACCCCAATGACATCGCAACGCTAAATTGCCTCATAGATGCATGGTTGCATCCCAATAAAGCGTACTGAGGAAGTGTCATGGAATTGCCCTTCTACCGTATGGCAACACCCCACTGGCTGCACTACTGACACATGGGACCAACCCATCAGACCATCCCATTGGCTAGAGCACCTTGTGTCCTCAAACGTATCTCTTTTTATAAATAAGGGTTGACCTCCTTCTTTATCAATAGAGATTACGTATTTTCAGTATGCATTTAACATGTTTTCAAAACATTTCTAAAAGCCATTAAAAATGCCTTTGTTCACAACCAAACAGATCTGTACTTCTTTTCTCTTGGAACTGAAAAGCAGTAACTTTAAGGTTCCTTAGTCTTACCAACAGGCCTGTGGCCTAGCGGTACAAGGCTCTTACTTCCCAAAGGGAGGTCAGGGGTTCGAACCTCAGTAGAGGCAGTGTGTGTGAGTCCCAACTAGGAAAAAAAAAAGGTTCCTTAGTCTTATCAATTACTGCAACTCTTAAGTCTCACCCTAGCCAAATCCACATGGGACAACCATCTTATGTGTACAGCCACCGTCATCCAAAGGAACCATAGCTTCCATGATATTTATCTATTATTTGGCTTACATTTCCAACATCTTCCATGCCATTTCTTAACTTACTCCACAAATATACCATGCTTTTGTTTCTATCTACACCAACTAAGATTCCATCCCTAAATTAAAACATTACACATGATGATACAAATCGTTAACTAAAATAATTTCTTGATTGAGTAAATATGCTTGGTGACTGATGAACTTAAGATATATTACATGGAAATCTATAATAAAAAAAATAAAAGAGAAGTTAATTTCACTTCCATTTTCAACTTCTGATATGACCCAGTTCATATCTAAATTCAAGTTTATACATTAACCTCTCTCTTTTTCCCTGAATAGTTTATACATTAAGGTTATATATATATATATATATCATATATTTTAAATAAACAAAACACCAAAGCAAAATAAAACATCACAAAGTTTTGACCTAGCATTCTTATGTGTACTAAGTTTCAGCTACGTTGCAATAATATGTCGAGTTATCCTTATTTGAACCTGATAATATGTCGAGTTATCCTTATTTGAACCTGGCAATCAACATACTTAACTGATAGACTCCGAGTCAATTTTAATAAGATAAGAAGTACAATTGCAAAATACTTCAGCATAAGATATACAAAAACTATAAAACCAATACCAGTTAATCCAACCTGTGACATCTTTTGAGTGCCCTGTTAACTGCTTGATAATTGAAGGTGGCTGGGACACTGTGCATACTGTCAATGTTCCATCTGTTGCCCCAAATGCAAGTAGATCGGAACTCATGTGCCCAAACTTTATAATTGTAACTGGAAATAAAACTATTGAGTCTTAGTTCCTCTGAAAAAACAAAATAATCATCGAAGGAAAAATTAAAGGATGGCAATGAAACTAGTCTAGATTGATCCTCTATGAAATTACCCATGGATTTGCACTGGTCAAAGATGCATTGCATCCCTACGAAGGAATATGCAGGTTCAGCTCTTCTACGTGGTCTATCAGAATCACTTAAATTTGAGCTTAAACTAGCACTGTGACTCAAAGTTTGATTGCCGCTTCGTAGCTCCTGTTAAGAAAAGCAAGCATGAAACTTATAATAATTGTATGGAGAAAAAAAACTAAGACAAAATTTGTATTCAGCTGTTGTACTGTATTGACCTGTAAATATGCAATTGTTGTCATTCACTTTCTAAAGCGCCTAATCTAAACTAGTCATGAACTTGTGTCCAAAACTATAATCTGCATTATTTATTTTTTTTTGATAAGTAAAAACTATAATCTGCATTATAAAAAAAATTGCAATGCCTATATGACGTAGTCTAGTAAGGAATGTTGGATATTTACAAAACAACATATTCAAACAACAGTATCACCAAAATGAGCGTATGGGCAGCAGGGTAATAATTCAACAGATCTGATTTGCTTAAATCAACTCTTAAATATAATTGTTGGGATTGGCAATTTCCAATTTTTAAGGACCGTAAAGAATACGGCATATTAGTTGATTAAAAAATAGTACAATATAAACTAGGAAAAAAATATAGTACAATGTAACAATTAGCATATGTCCCAAGGCCCAAGTATCTCTAGTTGGCATGTTTGGCTTGATTAGCAGAGTCTTTTTTAAACCACACAATAAAAAACTTCAAATTATTTCAGAGCCAAAAACATGTCTGGTAGTCGCTTGTGTTTCTCAATTACAAATCGGAAAAAAGAGAAGAAATTGTTAATGTTGAACCAAAATTTAAGAACCTTATAGTTAAAGCTTTCACAATTGGAATCAGAGGTGAATGAGACAACATTCATCGCAAGCTAGAACAGGTAGAGAATGAGGTGTTCCGGAAGCAGTGGAGATTATCAAACTTAGATGTGGCAGTAGAAGGAAATAAGAAGAAGAAAAGAGGTCATAACTATTTCATGGCTGGAGAAAAGGATGAAGACGACAACATCTTGAGCAGTTGAAAAATTACAACTAATATTTATTATGTGTGAGGATGGGAACGGAATTGGTTTGAGCTGGGGCCTCCCTCCCCCAACCCCACACCACGAGAAAATATTCCTTATGCCAGTCCCGAACCTGCATCAAGGCAGGACTCGGCAAACGACTAAATAAAGACAACGTAGGGAGGGTTCCTGCGGACAAAATTTTCACATTGAAAGCCACTACAAGGATTGAAAAACTTTGTATGCCTGCTAATTGTTCAAAATGTCAGCCCATTGTTGGTGTACACTATGCATGAGACAGAGCAAGGTATAATAAAAGTCCCTCCTCCTTGTACTAAACACTCAATACAACTACACTTTTTCTTGGTCTTGTTTAGCAGCGATGACGCTTTGTCGTCAAATGAAATAAAACATCCTCATTTTGTTCTTACTGTTCGCAGACATATTAGAACTCGTCGCCAAGTACTGAACAGTCTTTAAGCAGTAGTTAGTATTTGTCAAACAACTAAACTGGCCATTTACATAGGTGCAATAGTAACTAATTACTTATTTATCCTTATGGGGACAGGAACAAGGTGTTTACACAAGTAAAACCCAACCCTGTTCCAGACCATCTCTGGTTGGCTTTTAAAACCCCCATCCTCACACCAACTGCATTCAACATTGCTCCATGCCCATCCTAGTAAGGAGTGGGAAGGGTTACTTGTCATCCCTAGTAGTGGAAATTAGGGTAGAAGATAATCCAAAACCAAGATATATAACCAGGACCCACCTCCCATGTTTATCACAGCCACCATAACCACTTAAAAGAAAATAGAAGTGAAATTTTTTGTTTACCAGAGCTTTAAATTTAATAGAAGAATTGGGTTGTGATAGAAAAGAATGAAAAAATAGAATTCATGTTGCCGACACATTCGTATAGGATCAACACAAGGAGGAGGAGGAGGAGGAGGAGCTTTGAAAATTATAGAGTTGTGGCCCATGCAGATCCCTGATGCCAATACTACAGAATTAAAGAAGTACAATCAGCCAATGAATCATGAAAAATTATGTTTGTGATCTTTGTCATAACAAACTGAATAAAAGCAGCAAGATCACAAGGAGACACCTAGAAAGAGCGAGTGAGAGAGAGAGAGAAGGGCAGAGAGTGTGGGTTATATTCAATCCATAGTCCACTATGAGTAATATGCATTAAGATTTTGTAAAGAATAGATCATAGGTTTTGTTTTATCACATAAATAGCACTTTTACTAAATAAATACACAAAAGCCTTGCGATGTAGAACCAAACTCATTAAAATTAATCAATCAAAAAGTATAAAACCCTATTGTAAGCCTTATATATGGGCAAAACCATAAGCAAGCCTAAAGAAACACTAAAATAAGAAAATGTGAAAATAACACTAAAAATAAACATTCCAAAAATTAAAAAATAAATATGTAACCTAAATTCACCAAAAATCCAAAATTCTATTTATCGAGGCCCTTGGCGCTTCTCCCAGAGTACAAATAAATCATATGTGGTTCATGGTTGCAAGTTGTATCTTTATTTCCATTAATTCTTCCGGCTGAGAAGAACCTTTTTCTTCGGAGAGTTATGATGGAGATCAATATACAACTCGCAAGCACAAGGCGCATATGATGTGTACCTACTCTAGGAAAAGGGTCAAGGATAACTTTTATATATATATATATATATATATAAGGAGCAAGGATTAATAAAATTAGGGATTTTTGGTATAATTAAAGCTGTACATTTATTTTTATTTTTTCTTTGTAATGTTTAATTTTTTGGGATATATGCATTTTCTTATTTCAAGGTTTCTTTTGGTTGGTTATGATTTTGCCTGTACTAAGGTTTACAATAGTTGTCAGTACCATTTGATGATTTGATACTATTACTAAGTATTGAGATACAGATTTTTCTCCCCAAAATTCTTATTCTTCTCTATTCTTTTTATCTTCTTTCTCTTCTTATTTCTTCTTCTTTGGTTCTACAAAAAGAGGCATCGGAGCAGTCCCAGTCCAACATCACAATGTCACGCAAATAAGTAACTAGCTATTCTATTCATACAACTCAATACTTGGTAAATTAAATTTTGTTAATAGTGAAAATTACAAATAAACAAAAAGAAGTGTGATTTTCATTTATTCCTTTTCTTTCTGGAGGGGATGGGGCTGTGGATGTTACAATAAAATAGCTCCTAAGTCCTTACACACCTAATGTTTCCATTTGATGTGGAACATATTACACGCACGCAGAATCCATTACTCATTCTTAATATTAATGAATAGCAGCAATTCAAGGTGAAGACAAAATTTAACAAAGATCAACAAAAAATCATAAGGTGGTGACACATACCTTGCTAGAACTCCAGCTGTCCACCTCTAAGAAAAGGGAGAGTGGACCTGGAGATGGTAACCATCGCCCACTGATGCATCAACCAGTAAATTACCCTGATGTCAGAATTGTATGGAAAATTTAAATAATACTCACAAATCAGAAAGCTGCATGGTCATGTAACTTTTTCACAACATATTATAAATATAGGGTAGATGGGAATGAATTTGAGTACTCATAAACTTGGTAAAAGGATGGGCCCAAAAAACTGAAATAAATGTCTATTATCACATCTCTGTAACTCATCTAAATAAATAAAATTAACTTTGAGTGAAGGAACAATTCTACACCCTCCATCCTGCAACTAGGAAGAGATATAAAATTATTTGATTGCAGTGTTTTGAAATTAATTCATACCAGAGAATTACTGGTCGGTCAGATACACGTAAAATTGGCTAAAATATATATATTTATGGCAGATTCCTCATTACCAATCAATCTGATACTTTAGTGATTACAATCTTCTTTTGCTGCTAGGTCTGTATCTATAATCTTCAATGGTCAAAATTTTAAAATAAATAAAAAGAAAAATACTTGCATACACGCATGCAATGATGCAAATATTAAAAACTCACTTTGATGATGCTAATATGAGTAATCATGATGATAATCATTTTAGAGTACCCATGAATAATAAGTAAATCTCAGCAACCTGTTTCCAGGAGTGCTTGAATGGCTCGGTATATGCAAACTTTCCCAGTTACTTGGCCTGTTAATGTAATTGCGGAAGGCCACATAACCTTTTCCGTTGCATCTCCAATCCTTGAACATAAATCAGTGCACTAGGTCAGTGATATTTTTCTTTGAGTCTAAAGCACTACTTGTAGAAGTATTTAACAAAAAAGGGTAACAAACACATTTACATAGTAAATTAAATGCTTGGCAATCATTGGAAATGAAAGTAGAAGGACCTCTCTAATAAAAAAATACTTAACAAATTAGTTGACTAATAACAAAGTTCTAAGGAACAACTTGGTTTCATGATGGATACTAGAAAGCGCTACCTAAATTTCAATTTAATAAAACAGTAGCTACAGTGCTCTTTAGGCTGTCATTTCAGGACTGGGAGTTGAACGAGGTGAGTATTTTTCTGGACCAATTGTATCGGCAGGAAGGAATTGGTAGGGGGCATGACAATTTGATATGGATTCCCCCTTCTCACGATCGTTCTGAAGTAAGATCTTTTTTCTTATGTCTGTATAATTTTGTTAGCTTTGTTTTCCCTTGGAAAACTATATGGCGCTCTTCGGCACCTACTAGGGTGGCATTCTTTGTGTGGACAGCTGTGTGGGGTCAGATTCTGACGATTGATAATTTGAGGAAGAGGGGAAATTGTATTGTTAATTGGTGTTGCCTTTGTAAGCAAGATGGGGAATCTGTTAATCATCTTCTAATGCATTGCCCTGTGGCGTACGATTGCTGGAATCTTATTCTTGGATTGTTTGGCATGTGTTGGGTAATGCTACGTTCTACTAAGAATTTGATTTATGCCTGAAGAGGATGTCGCGTGAGCAGAGGTGTGCGCCATTTCTAGAGAAATGTCCCACATTGTGTATGGTGGAGCATTTGGAAGGAGAGACACAGTAGAATGTTTGAAGGGAAAGAGTCGTCTACGGCGACACTAAAACTTATTATTATTCGCTCTCTCTTTAGTTATGTGAAGAAGAGTTCTTGCTCTTCTTCTGATGCTTTAATTTATTTTCTGGATTCGTTGGGGCCTTAGTCCCCGATTATTGTTATAGGGACGTATTTCCCTTTTGAACGCTTTTTTAATTTATTGTTACTTATCAAAAAAAAAAAAAAATTATAGTACCTTCAGCTCCTTTGAAATTCCAATGACATAATTGAAATTAAATTAATATTTGATTACTCTAACAAGTTCAAGCCCTTCAGAAGAAACTCACAGGTGGAATTATTATGTCAAGTCACCTAATCTTCAACTTCATGGTTTTAACAAATAAATGACATCTATGTTATAATTGTTCCTTTTGAAAGTATAACAGATGCGAAATTATAGTAACAAAAGGCAATATCATATAGAAAGAGAGAATGGGGCATAGATGACCAATCAGGGGGCAATGGCCTCCGTGAGCTCTCATTGCTACCCATTGTGCTGCCTTGAATGCTTACATTCTACTCTGAACAAACTCCATTAGGTGAAGAAACGTTGATGAGGATCGATATCTTTACATTAGAAGGGTAATAATATCCCCAAGGCTGTGGCAATTGGAATCTTTGACAGAAGCTATGCATGCAGTCGGCAGAATCAGACTCAATAATTAAACCACCAGTCCTGAGAACCTTGAACATCTAACAAGCACTAGAAGCATCTGCATTTCAAGCCGAGTCCCAAAAGATTCCTTTTAATGGCTAATCTATAAATTAGATTTCCCCGAAGGAAAGTCCCTGAACATAATGTACCTTCAACTGACCAGCAAGATAAGCGATCCAACCAGATCCAATGGCCCAATGGGTCAATGTAATTGAATATAATGATCTTATATTCAATTTTTTATATAATGTTATTAGATTCACATTCAATGGGAAGGGAAGGTGAACAGAGTTCCTCTCAGCTTCGGTACAATTTGTCTACTATTTCACCTACTTAAATATTTTAACTACTAGGATGTGACATCAGGGACAATATCAGAGTAAAAACCCTTCATTTTGAACATAATTAACAAATTAAATACGAACATGTAATGAGGAAATTACACTGCACACATTCAAACTTGGATCTAAGAATGAATACATATGCATACATATAGATATGAAAATATATGCATTTATATATATAGATATATATATATATATATATATATAACGCACCTTACGGCGGAGAACACCGGATTGAGCCTTGCGATAGAGAAGAAGACGGCGAATTCCGATGTAATTGAGATCGGAGTCGGCAGTAACAGGCTGAAGCATACAGCTGAAGGATTCTGGATCTGTAACGTCCACTTTCGTCGTCTTCTTCAACTGATCTTCAGACGAGCTCTTCTCGGTCGTCTGCTCCGCCATCCTATGGAACTTCCGACGAATCCTTCATCAGAAGCCGTTCATCGGATCAGTCAATGCAGATCGCTTCTACTTTCTCTCTCTAAATCCTCTATCAGAGTATCGAGATCAGATGTTTAAATTGCTTCTCTGGCTGAAGAGTATCGTGTGGACGTATTTCGAGATCGCAAGGCCTGGACCCAATTTCAAATTGTGGAGTGGTGATTTTTGTGCAGACCATGTGAACTATAAGTTTTTTTTTTTTTTTTTTTAAACGGCAAAAATGTTTGATAATTTTACCATCAACACCGATTAATTCTCACTAATTCTATTCTATCCCAAGTCATTCATTTCGTGTAATTTGGTTCAATCTTATTATGAAATTTTTTTTTTTTTTTTTTAACAGCAAGAAATACATTTACATATCTTGAGGTGAAAAATGATGACTAAACTACTCAAATGATTCAGTTTCCGTTCAAAAAATAATAAAATACTCAAGAATAAATTGGTTTACCAGTTGAAGGTAAAAAACCAAACCACGTGCGTGTATATTGTAGTATTCAATTGCTCTTTTATCTTGTCTGCAAGGTGCAGTATAGTCGCTTTTAATTATAATCTTAAGATTTAATCCAACGAGAATGAGATAATCAATCTTATTTTTCGCTGTTTTAAGGTATTTATCAACTTTTTATTTATCATTAAATATAATTAGAATGAAATGACAAAATTAGACCCTAATTAAAGGAAACAAAAATGAAAGATTTTGACAACACCCTCCCTGGATTGCAGATGAATCAAGGTTTCATAAATATTATTATTATGTTTTTTTTGCCATCTCCATTCTCACTGGAAAGGAATAGTAGCTAGAAAAATATTTGTTAAGAATTTAAACAACCAAAAATTTTGGATGGAAGTAACGTCCAGTACCAAAGAAAAAACATGACAAGAAGATTTAATTGAAGGAAAAAAAGAAAAGAAAGGCTGATTAAAATATTAAGATCAAAAACCTCCACCTGTTTTATAACTTTAAAATTATATACATACAAAATGAAATTTTACAAAGGCAAGAACACTATCATTAAGGCAATGTTTGGCAAAAGAACAGTATCATTATCCTAAATTGCTTATCGATTCCAAGACGCACACTACTGATCGGAAAATCATCCCTCTAATAAGTGCTGAAAAACTTAATTTAAGTACGACATCGATATAGCTTTGCAAATACAATTTTCGTAAATCTGCTAATTCGTTTAACATAAACCCTAAACACTATGACCAGTAGAAAAAGAACTATAAAATCAAAAATTAATATATACCGAAAAATGTATATATATAAATTATCAAGTTATCATGTTTTTCTTTGGTACCCGTTTTTTATATACAAATTCTCTTTAATTTACTGAATGTTCTCTGATCGGCCTACAGAGCAACGGACTAGTTAAATTCTTCATTTTTGTTTTCTTTAATGAATGGTCTAGTTTTGTCATTTCATTTTAATTATATTTAATGGTAATGAAACAAATATGTAAGTTTCTTTAAATAGAAAAAAGAAAGGCTTATTAACTTATTGTCACCGGATTAGATCATAAGATTATAATTAGAAGTGAGTATACTTTTTCCTACTCATTAAAGAGCAATTAAACACTACTTTATATATATATATATATATATATATATACTGTTGTAAAAGTGTAAGCCTTTTTCTCTATTTTTTATTACTTTTTAGTTTTATTTTTTCATTAAAGAATATCATTAAAGCATTCATTTTCTCTATTTCTTAACTTTTTTAATTTTAGAATTTTTCATTAAAGAGTCTCATCAAACACCTAAGAGCATCTCCGGCGATCTGTTAAAAAACTTTTTTTGTGTAAAATATACACTGCCACATATAATTCTCCACATATGATTTATAAATTTTTTTCATCTCTAGCAGTTTGTTAAGATCCACTGTCACATCACCAATGTGTAAAAGGGTTGTATATTTTACACAGCCACGTAAGCATATTTTCTTTTTCCTCCCCCTTTTTCACTTGTGGTTCTCTTTCTTCTCTCTCATTCCTTTACTCACGCTAGAGGTGGCAATATTTGACACGACACGCTAACACGACACGAGATAAGCGGGTTAGGGTTTTAGTTAATCGTGTTCGTGTCATAATCGTGTCAACACGGATTGACCCGCTAACTAAACGTGTCGTGTTCGTGTTTGACCATGTAAACACGATTATGACACGATTAATCCGATTAACTAAACGTGTCAGATAAACGTGTCGTCTTCGTGTCAAAAATGACCCATTTAGCAAAATATGTCGTATTCGTGTCGAAAATGGCTTAAATGTGTCTTTTCGTGTCGTGTCAAATCTTGACTCATTTATTAAACAGGTTTTGCGTGTCGTGTCGTGTTATACGTATAATAATCGTTTCGTGTTCGTGTCAAGGGTTTTAGACACGATTAATAATTGTGTCGTGTTCGTGTCAACCCTAATCGTGTCCGTGTCGTAATCGTGTGGACACGAACACGACACGCCAACACAAATTGTCATCTATAACTCACGCATCTAGTATGAAACATTAAGGGTTAATTACACTCACACCCCTTGAGGTTTGCTCTATTGACAGTTAGATGAAAGTTAGCTCTTTTTTTTAACAATGGCACCCCCTTAAGTTTGGTAAAGTTAACAAAGACCCCCAAATCATCATTGCCACATCCTATGCACTATAAAATGACCTAAATACCCTTTGAATTGTCAACAACCATATTTATATCATAAAATGACTTAAATGCCCTCTCTCTCACACTATATTAACAATCCATAACCACAAAATAGATATATATATATATATATATATATATATATATATATATATATTGTAACGACCAAATAGAATCTAGCTGGTTGCTGAGCCTATCATCTGGCTAACACCAATTACAAAGCCTAATCGAACCCACCACTATCAACTATAACCAACCTTATAATATGTATATTAACACACTTACATACTCATATGTGTATATATATATATTGTAACGACCTGGTCATTTACCTTCCTTTCTTTTTTCCTGAAATTTTACGGATAAATTTTTTTCCGTTTAATTTTATTTTCTGAGCTCTGTTTCTTGTCACATAGTGTCTTCTCGAGTGCTCGAAAATGGTTTCTGAGACTCTTTCGTGTGATTGACAACTTCCTTTGAGGACCGAGTTATTTTCGCATTTTCACTTTTCGGACACTATGCACTATTTCGTCATTTTCCCTATTCTGTCTTATCTCCATTTGTCAGTTTTTGGCACAACCTCATTTTTTGTGCTCGGAGTTAGCTTTTGACTTCACGTGTCTTCATCTTCAGTGGTTTCCTCGAAATACGTATCTTTACTTTTGCAAGAAAGTACTCTGGTTGCTCCCGGTGTCCATAGGGGCATGGATGCATAATTCTTTATAATCTTTTTCATTTCTTGGGGTATTTTTCATAAATATCTTTTGAAGATATTTTATTTCAGGGGCATCTAAGAAAATATCTTTTGGAAGATATTTTCATTCTGGGGTAGTTTCGCAGTTAACCTTTTTTGTAGGGGACATTGTGCAATAAACGAAAGTTATTGCAAAATGTCTTGTCTGGAGCCTGGATCTTTGTACGGGATTTATTTTCACATTTCGTCAAGTTATGGACTCTTGGGATTTCCTTCTGGTCATTTTTCTCCAGTTTCAGAGTTTTTGGACTCAGTTGCCGCCGAACTTGTTCGGGGCATATCTCTTTGCTTGGGACTCAGTTTTCGACGGCGTTTCTTCCGTTGTTCATATTTTCTCATTTTGAATCTTTTTTGTTCACGGAGTTTTGCCGTTTGAGCTCGTTTGCTCAAAATTCACTTTTTCGGACCCGGCGAGGTCCGTTCGGGGCACTTTTTGAGATTTCTATAAAAAGGAGATGAGATATTTCATTTTTCATCTTCCCCACTCTCCTTGCATGACCTAAAGCAGCCATGGATGTTCATGGCGCTGCCACTTTCTCTCTCCTCCTTTGCTCTACTACTTTCCTAAGTGAAAAGTCCTCGGCCTTCATGTTTTTTGTTCCCCTCGATGTGTTCTACCATTCCCCCTTATTAGAATTCATTTCTGACCATTTCTTGAGTTTGAGTTTGAAATCAAGTTGTGATTTTCATGGGGCTTCCTTCGGATTCATGTTGATCGTGTTGTCCCCAACAAAACCCTTCGGTTTCGACAGATTCGGAACACTTTTCTTCCGATGGGGATTTGAGATTTTCATCTCAATTTGAGGTAGGGGGTGTTATAATTTACTTTCTTGCTATATTGCATGCTTGTGATGCTTATACAACTTGATTACATGCTTGAATCACAAAATTTAGAGATTTTATTATTTATTTTTCTTGTGAAGGATTTAATTTTCCCGGTAGTCCATAGCTTTGTTTAAACATGTGGCATAATAGGATATTACCCTTTGACATGTTCATTGACATATATTAAATCTAGATTATTTGGACAAGTATTGAAGTTTTTATTTAATATTTATTTTGAATAAAATATTAAATCATGTGGCCTTAACTAGTTTGAAATCAATATGTGTTAGCATATTATATTAGGCCTTGGCATGCTCTTCAACATAGGTGAATTTGAGAGAAATTGGAAGTGTTTTGAAATCTAGTAATATTTAATTTATTAGATTAATTAATTTGCTCCAAGTGTACTATTGATCCCGTTGGATTTTCGACTTGGTATTCTTGATGTGCATGCCATATAGTTTCACATATATTAAATATAGAATATTTGATTAGGTTTTGAAACCTTACATTTAATTAATTTCTTTGTTTGAGATTTAATCCTCATGATGATATACAACTTGGAATTAAAGTGTGGCATGCTAGTAATTTAGGCCTTGGTTTACTTGTTAACATATATTATATTGGAATCATTTGAATGAGAATTGCATCTTTTATCTAATATTTATCTTTGGTGAAAGTTAAATTTATATAGATGTAACTTGCATGAAATAAGCTTGTTATGTGATATTACAATAGGTCTTGGCATGTTCCCTAACATATGTTAATTTGAGAATATTTAGATGAGTTTGAAAATCTAGAGATTTTAATTAAAAGGATTAATTAAAATCTATTTAATGGTTCCATTGGCTTAATTAAGTTTTTAACTTGATATTTGTAATGACCATGACTTGTTTACTAGCATATAGTAATTTGGGACCATTCGAAGTTACTTTAGAACCTTAGGATTTAAATTAGCATGATTTAATTAAAATTCTACTTTATTGTTCCAATAACCTAATTGAGTTTTAGAATGGATATAGGTGATGACCATGTTAT